TTTATTTAGTTAGTTAGTTAGTTAGTTAGTTAGTTACTTATTTAGTTAGTTAGTTAGTTAGTTAGTTAGTTAACACCCCATCTTTGCCTTCAATGTGGCTTACAAAATTAAAACATATTTAAAAGCTAAAAAAAAATTAAAAAATCACAGTGGCCCAAATCCTGTTGCTTAGTGTAGTAAATCACACTCTTGTAGGCCCATTGAATCAACAGAGACGGAGTGAGTTAACTCTTCCGTACCTTCTCTTGATTCAGATGGGCCGGCTCCAACTGTGGTTGACTTTAACCTAGTCAGTTACTACATTCAACTTAGTTGCAGTTGGAGAAGGCCCATTTGAACCACCCAAAGGAGCTGATTCGCCACGCTGCCACCAAGTCCATTTTAGTCCAAGTGATTTCAACATCATGTATAACATCCCGATCTGGCTTTTTGAGTTCATTCACCGACCCTTTTCTACCAAAGGATGGCTTCCTTCCTTCAGTGACAATTTTACAGTTTTAGGTAAAGGTAAAGGTAAAGGTTCCCCTTGACAATTTTTGTCCAGTTGTGTCTGACTCTAGGAGGCGGTGCTCATCCCGCTCTTCAAGCCATAGAGCCAGCGTTTGTCCGAAGACAATCTTTCCGTGGTCACATGGCCAGTGTGATTTAGACACGGAACGCTGTTTACCTTCCCACCGAGATGGTACCTATTTATCTACTCGCATTTGCATGCTTTCGAACCGCTAGGTTGGTGGGAGCTGGGACAAGCAACGGGCGCTCACTCCGTCGCATGGATTCAATCTTACGACTGCTTGGTCTTCTGACCCTGCAGCACAGGCTTCTGCGGTTTAGCCCACAGCTCCACCACGTCCCTTGAGAAAACCTGAAATCCCTTGCATCTTACAATTAATAGCAATGAGCAGCCCAAGACCGAGGCTTTTACAAGACCTACACTTTTCCAAATGTCATCGTTGTTCCTGACCTGAACAATATTTCTGAGATACAGTCTTATTCCACCTCCCTTACTTATTGAAGAGCAAAAGAGCCACCACCGCTTTAGAACTGTAGAGCTGAAAGGGACCCTCTGGATTACGGAGTCCAGTCCTTCTTAAGAAGGCACCAGGGGGGAATCGAACTCCCAACCAGATGGAGCCACCACCGCTTTAGAACTGTAGAGCTGAAAGGGACCCTCTGGATCACGGAGTCCAGTCCTTCTTAAGAAAGCACCTGGGAGGAATCGAACTCCCAACCAGATGCCTAAATCACTGAGCTATCCAGTAGTGATCACTGCAGAGTTGGAAGGGACCCTACAGATCATCAAGTCCAGCCCTTATGAAGCAGGCAACTGAACTTCCAACCTCTGGCTCTTCAATCAGATCTCTAACCCACTGAGCGTCCAGAAGTTCTTGTTTCAAGGTGGGAAACGAGTTTAACCTCGGGCTGCAAAAATGACAAAAGGCCAGGGACAGCATAAAAACTAACCAGTTTCATTCGGTCTATGCCTTTATAGAATGCAGTCTAAAGTATTTGATGCAGTACATCGAGGTCTACAAAGAAATGTTCCAAAAAATTGTTAATCATTGAAGCTTCCTGAGACTCCTTGCTGCTTTTTTGTGACTTGCAATTTCCAAATTCTTTATTCTCACCAAGGTAAGGTCTGGAAAGATTGCAACCAGTAGGAAGGATCGGCTAAAAGCTCCCCCCAAGCTCATAAATCATAACACACCAGCATTATCATCTGAAATGAGAGCTGTGGCCAACCACCAGCATTCTTTTAGAGTCTTCTGTGAATGCTTAGAAAGAACGTGGCAGCTATAAAGCAAACTGCTGGGAACTCATCCATCACCAGCTAGCTTTTTCTTGATTTCTTTATTTTTTTAAGCATTGCGTGTGAAACAATCTGCACACGACAGCATCTAGCACAAATGTTAACCTTTTTCTTTTCAACACTGCCTTGCCATAACTCAGTTAAAAGAAACGGTACAGTACTTTTCTCTGTCTTAAATTAGCATGCACATTTGTTTTTACTCCTAGCCTTCAGTTTTTAACAGCCTTATAAAAGAAAGGTTTTGTTTGTCATGAGCATTGAGGAAAAACAAAGCCATGCAGGATGTGGGTAGCAAAAACAGAAGGCCATATAATCTGGAAAGTGAAGGTCAAGCTAGAGCTAAGTCATCAGTAGAAAAGAAAATTCACGGAATGCTGTGAAGAACCAAAGATTCTCATTGGACATTCTTCTTATGACTCGGGTTGTTTGCAAATCAAATTGTTTGGATGTATGGAAACACAGACTTCCTTTGTCAGTCTAACTGGTCAAGAATGAAGGTCTCCCAGAACTATATCTCTGGAAGGGTAATAGAATCATAGAATAACAGAGTTGGAAGGAATGAAAGTCTCCCAGAACTATGTCTCTTGAAGGGTAACAGAATCATTGAATAACAGAGTTGGAAGGGGTCTCTTAAAGTCATCTAGTCCAACCCTCTGCTCAAGGCAGGAATCCAAACCAAAGCAGATCTGACAGGTAGCAGTCCAATTTTTTCCTGAATGCCTCCAGCCCTGGAGTGCTCACCACGTCCTGAGGTAATCAGTTCCATTGTCATACTGCTGTAACAGTTAAGAACGTTTTCCTGATATGTGGCCTAAATCTGGCTTCTTATAGTTTGAGTCAATGATGACATATCCTGCACTTGGGGCTGATCAAGAACAGATCCTGCCCCTCCTCTGCTTGACA